CAGAGGCCATGGGTTAGCAACAGGAGCTAGCAACAAAAGTTTGAGCTAGCAAGAGAAGCAGAGGCCATGGGTTAGCAACAGGAGCTAGCAACAGAAGTAGGAGCTAGCAAGAGAAGCAGAGGCCATGGGTTAGCAACAGGAGCTAGCAACAGAAGTAGGAGCTAGCAAGAGAAGCAGAGACTAGGGCCTAACAACAGGAGCTAGGGACAAAACTAGGAGATTAAGTTGATGAATTTATAATCAGCTAATATTTTTATCACAGGTTAACTGCTGCAGCGATTCTTTTTACTTAAATAGAAAAGTTTTATTGTGTTTCTATTGTCGTTATAAAATTTATGTCACTTTAAAATCAGGTTCCATTGAGGAAGAAGCTAACCACATCCTGGTCTCTGATGTGCTCAAAGAAAGAAAGTGAATCCGCCTGCATGGGGAGGTTCTGGCACATGTGCAGTTTGGCTACCGTTAGTAGCAATTATGCACCTGCAGGGCTTAATGGATGCACAGCAACCCCGTTAACCATCCAGCACCAGCTGGTGTTGTGGTGGCATCTATCTCAGCAGGGAATGTTTCAAAGAGCGTAACACCGACAAGTGGCGCTGGAAATAACTCTGATTTTAATATCACTCTATGCTTCTGCTGCATGAATGTCAAAATATAAAAGATTTGTTTACAGAAAGAAAAACACCTAATGGTCTTTAAGCTGACTAGTTCTATCCAGATCAAACATAAACATAGGTGAGGCTACCTTGTTTAGAAAAAACAAAATCAAACAACTTTTCTTCACTTATCTGTCTTAAAAAATATTTCCTCTCAAGTCTTACAACTCTAGATGTAATACCTGAATGAGTGGATTATTTACCTCCCAACCAGGTAATGAGATGAAGCAGAAACACATCTTAAAAGCTGAAGGAAATAGGAAGCTGCCTGCTGCTGTAATCAGGAGCTAATTAATTAATCGGATCAGAGATCCAAAATGTACGGCTGCAAGTTTGGAAAAAACAAGCAGCATTTGGCAAAATAAATCTCAAACTAACCCCGCAGCTTGAGGAGGGGAGAATCCTCACTGCCAAAAAGATGCAGAAATAAGTCAAAATTTCTTAAATTAGGTGCTTTTCCCCTTAATTTGAGCAGGTAAATAAGATGATTTTCCTATAGAATTAGTAGTTAATTAGATAATATGCACTTGAAATTTTTTTTTTTAAAGTAAATTGTCTTGTTCCATTGGTTAAGTGTCCCACTTACCACCTAAAATCAAGAACAAATGCACATATTTTAAGAAAAAGACTTATTTAGATTGCAGTTTTTTGCAGTGTTGTGCAGCCGCTGGCCTTAGATACATACGGTAACTGAGAAGACCATGAACTGTCGTATACGGTAAAGTTCCCTCTTGGCTCGGTGGGAACGCTTTGCTTTTCTTCTGCCCATGAGTGGAGGTACGGGTAAGGCCCAGCCATCTCTCACGGCGCCGTTATATCTTCTGTGGGCCCCAGGGACGCGTCAGGCCCGCCGTCGCAGGGCTTTGACAGGAGCTAGCTCAGCAGGTAGGATAGTAATGTTCTCACCTTACCTTGCTCCTTCAGAGTTCTGGCTGCTGGAGCGGACAGATGCCTGCCCGGCGGGGGCTCAGTGGGGTCTCCGATGCTTGGTGGGGGACTGGATCCTAAACTTTGGGTGGGTGGGGGGAGGCAGTACAGCTGTCTGAGTCCTGCGACTCTCTACCGTTCAACAACGCTGCACCTCCAGGTGATAACCCCACTCACATCCACCCACTCAACCTAAACACACCAACATCCCCACCTACCAACTGACAACCCAAATACTTAAAGGTCACACAAACACAGGTTGCTATTGAACTGATGTGTCGTGCTGCTTTGATGCAGCCTTTATTTAATAAAGTCAGATCATACCCGTGCTTGAGCTGTTCACAGCCTGGTTACGGTACAGCCCTAGTTCTGAAGCAGACCGATCAACTGATCGGTCGATAATCTGTGTGCTGTGGCTGATGTTCCTGCGGGGCAGCCGGTCTTAAGCAATCACAGTTCCACGGACAGAAGACGAAGAACCAGAAAATAAAGGCGGAGGTCCAGTGGCTTTCTAAAACTGAAGCTCTGCAGCAGCCGAAACGCTTTCCCTTCGCCAAGCGGGCAGGATGAAGTGATGGCCACAAGTACCTGAGCTGCAGAGATTTCCGTCTTTATCCGCGTCTTCAGGCGTCCGTGTGGACGACCAGCAGCAGCAGCAGGAGGGAGTGCGAGCTGTAGAGTCATTATAAATCTAAGCTCTTTGTTTGCAGGATTGAGGCGGATTAAGGTGGATGACCCGCTCAGGTAAGTCTTAGACATCCGGATTAGATCTTAAGTCACGGAAAAAATAAAGGTTCTTATTGGGTTTTTATCGGTCAACCATCTCCATCACTGAGCTCCTTAATCAGCTACCTTAAAACTAAATGTCCTGCAGATTTACATCAGACAACAAATAAAAACGCCACATTTAAAACTTGGTCTGCAGTAAAATAATCAGCTGGAAACAAACCCACGGAACACAAATCTGGCAATATTTTCCCTTCATTTCATGTCTGAAATAACAAAGTATTTGAGATGTAAAAGCAGCTCATGCTGACAATATGACAGCTGTTTAATTTTCCTAAAGAAAACCTCAATTTAGAAAAAAAAAAAGACAAATTTTTAAAAATTTTATTTCTTAAATAAGAGAAATAACGATCCTTGTTGAATTACTAAACAAACAATTCTGTGATAACTAAAATGACTGCATCTGCTGCCTGATGGTTTGTGGTGAAAAGGTAAAGTGATTTTACTTTGTGGTAATCTGGAGGTTAGTGTGCTTGTCGAACAGATTATTAGTCTGGAAGAGTCACTGATCTCTGAAAAAACAACCTGTTATCTTCATTTTAAAAGGTTGTCCAGGAATAAGAAAACAGACGCTGTTCTGATCGGCCAATAGCTGCACATCAATGATCACAGGATGCTTTATATATGCAGAAATCTACGCATTTTAAAAGTCATTTCATATAAACTTAGCTTCTTTCCTAGAAAAAAAGAAAACAGATTCGCAGCAAGAACTTCCCAGAATCAACCAACAGAAAATAAGCTGTCATGAATTTCTTTTTTTTTTTTTGTTTAAACACGATGAACTTTGTGATATGAGTCTGTTTTTTATTGTTTCTTGTCAATAAGAAGATTAAAGTGTCAGAAGGATTAAATCCATAAGTTCGGGAAAATCCGCGCAGATTATCTTTCCTTTAAGTGGTTTAATAGGTGTATAAAAAGAGGCTGAAGGTTCTGGCTGAGGTAGTAGAAGCTCAGGTTAAAGATGGGGAAACATTTCCACCTGTATGAGAACATCTCCAAAGTGGACCCCTTCGAGGGGCCCCAGTATTATCTCGCCCCGTCGTGGGCGTTTCACCTCCAGGCCCTCTTCATGGGCTTCGTCTTCTTCGTCGGGACGCCGTTAAACTTTCTGGTTCTGCTGGCCACAGCTAAATACAAGAAGCTCAGAGCTCCTCTCAACTATATCCTGGTCAACATCTCCTTTGCTGGCTTCATCTTCGTCACCTTCTCCGTCAGCCAGGTGTTCGTCTCCACCGTGAGGGGCTACTACTTCCTGGGTCACACCCTGTGTGCCTTGGAAGCAGCCATGGGTGCCGTAGCAGGTGAGGCTGGGAGGCTGAGAGGTGGTGGGTTGGTGCGATGAAGGCAGGTGACGAATGCAGATGTTTTCTCTGCAGGTCTGGTGACGTCCTGGTCGCTGGCTGTGCTTTCCTTCGAGCGGTACCTGGTGATCTGTAAACCGTTCGGAGCGTTTAAGTTTGGCAGCAGTCACGCCGCCGGCGCTGTGCTCTTCACCTGGTTCATGGGGGTGGGCTGTTCCTGCCCACCTTTCTTTGGTTGGAGCAGGTAGATCTCCCGCCGCCATATACGGATCAGTCCCGACGTTCTCCGGCTGATTTGATGTTTTTGTGCAGGTACATCCCGGAAGGACTGGGTTGCTCCTGCGGACCCGACTGGTACACCAATAACGAGGAGTTTAACTGCACCAGCTACATGTACTTCCTGATGGTCACCTGCTTCTGCATCCCTCTGTCCATAATCATCTTCTCCTACTCTCAGTTACTGGGAGCTCTGAGAGCTGTGAGTCCACCCATCCACGGCGACACGGCTGGGCAATTCCACATCCTGAGGGCCGGTATCCTGCAACTTTTAGATCCATCCAACACACTTGAATCAAATGGCTGCGTTACCTCCTCAGCGTGCTGTCAGTTCCTCCAGAGTCCTCTCAATCATCTAAGTACTTGATTCAGTATTGCCGAATCAGAGGCACATCTAAAAGTTGCAGGATACCGGCCCTCAGGAACGGGAATTACCCACCCCTGCATACAAGCTTATGCATGGAAACTGCCACAAAACACTCATGAAAGAGTTGCCTCAAGCCTTTCTAATGTGTTCTTCTGCAGGTTGCCGCCCAGCAGGCAGAGTCGGCGTCCACTCAGAAGGCTGAGAAGGAGGTGTCCAGGATGATCATCGTCATGGTCGGCTCCTTCGTCACCTGCTATGGCCCATATGCTTTGACGGCTCTTTGGTTTGCCCACTCTGAAGAGGTAAATAAAGACTACCGGCTCGTGACCATCCCGGCATTCTTCTCCAAGAGCTCCTGCGTCTACAACCCACTAATCTACGCCTTCATGAACAAGCAGGTGAGGAGGACCCGCCTGGTTCTGATCCCTGAAGCAGCTAAATATCACCTTTTTGTAGATATCTCCCTCTGCTCCTCCCAAAGCCAGAAAGACAGCCTGTATCACCTGAATCTGAATATGCAAACAAGATATAAAGATCCTGACTTTTGCTTCTCTGTCTCCAGTTTAACGCCTGCATCATGGAAATGGTGTTTGGAAAGAAAATGGAAGAAGCATCTGAAGTGTCTTCAAAGACTGAGGTGTCCACAGCATCGTAATGTTTGGAGCAAAACTCAGAAGGACATTTGACTTCCCTAAAGGACTTTTAAACATCTGCGTTCAGAGAACCCATAGGAAAAAAAAAACAAAAAACAAAACCATGTAAACAGTTTATACGTAAAACCCCATATCAAATTTTATTGTAGAAGGCATTTGTTTAGATAAAGCAAGAAAAATGGAATAAAAATGTATTAAATTGTCTGTTTGTGCTCTTTTCTGAAAAAACAAACAAACTGCGACTTAAAAAAAACTGTGCACAACAGGACACCGTTGTTTGCCACATTTGCAGGGATACAGATTAAAACCAGAGACTGAATATTCCAATATTAACTTTTTTTTTTAATTAAAGCTCTCATTGTTACAACATATTTAATTTAAATACATGCTGATAGAACAAGCTCTCCATCCTGAAGATCTGGGCTGATCTAGAGGTAGGTGGCATATCTATAACGACCACCAGAGGGCAGCAGTCAGACGCCCAAACAGAAACCAACAGGTCAGTCAATAAAGATTTCTATCAAACTGTCTGAGCTTCTCTCGCTCTTCTGACTGTCGGCCCCCTCCTGCCCTGAAAGCAGGGACACATCTAAAGCTACAGGATGGGGCGTTTGGGAGGGGAGGGGTAGCAGCTGATTGGTGATAATCCATTAATGGGATCAGAGGTCAGATTCTAACCAGAGATCCTTTTGACATGTTGAATCCACGCATTGTGGCACACAGACTTCAGACTAAACCTAAAGCCTGGAGGTGAGGGCTGATGAGGTGAACTTCTTATGCAGTCTCCGTTTCAGGATACCTTACATCACTGGTACCCAAACTTTTCTTGGTGAGCCCCCCATTGACAAACCTGGGAAGGCGTTATTTGCACCCTCACCCACCAACAGTTGGTTGATTAGAGTTTTTTTTTTTTTTATATTCCTCCCTGCAATGCTTTCCACTAACTGAAACGTATTTAAATCCACACTAACATGAATTCAACACACTGTAGTAAACAGATAAATGGAGGCAGAAGATGTCTTTCAGTCATCAATGCTCACATTCAGAGACACACAGGAGCTCTTTCAAGCTGGGCACCATTTCATTCACAACACCTGTCCCATCAACCAGGAATCAGGATCAGAAATACTTTAATAATCCCAGGGAGAAATTACTTTCATTACATTCCTCCATCTGTAATAGAGTGACTAAGGGACCAGCTTGATATAACACTATTTGATACAATATATATAATCAGGGGGTCCCGCTCCATCTGGGCATCAGTTTTGGGGTCCTTTGCCTGGAAAATTTTAAAGACCCCTGCAATAAAATGTACTACAATTTCCTTTAAATTACAAAACTATTTACTACCAATCAAAAATTTAAATGTATTTGCTAATAAAATATCCACCTGCAATTACACTTAGCCCCTCTAAGGGGTGCATGCCCAAAGTTTGGGAACCACTGCCTTACAGTTACTGAATCAAAACAAGGTCATCAAAAGAATACCGATCTAGAAAGGGAACAACTTAGTTCAACTTAGGCGGATTTAGGAAATTAGACACTTAAAATCATAAGCGTTCTGAATGCGTTTTAATGAAAGGATTTTTATGAAAAACATAATTAATGTGCACAAATAAGAAATAGCTGTATTAGCTATACATGTAAACAGAGTTTATGTGCATGTACCAGGCAACTGCCTAGTACTGCCTAATATTAAAATTCCTCCCTGAGGATCAGATATGTGTTGCCTCTCTGGTGGAATCTCCCCTGTTTTGTGGTTTTATTGCTGGAACTAGTGTGTACCTTGGACTGCCGGTGCAACCTGGTCTCTGGCTTGCACCAAAGATGGCCGTGTAGCTGGGTTTTAAGGACTCGGTTCTCTGTGACGACCTTTGTGTCTCTTTGGGCCAAGGACTGCTGCTACGGTGAGGTAAAGTAAGGCTGTGTCGGGACTGTTGTGGCCATTTGAAACCATGTCCACCCGTCCTTTGTTGCTTTTGGATCCTGTGTGTTGCAGACCTCCACCTGTTCTTGCTACGCTATCAGATGTGCACCTCAACGTGATTAGCCCCTCCACATAAACTCAACAAACACATCAACACACAACAAACCCAAATATTTTAAGGTCATACAAAGTTTCTGCGACGTGGCCCACCTACAAACAGTCTTTATCGGATACCAACTGGATACATCCCTGGTGCATGTAGGCAGGGCATGTGAAAAAGCAAAATAAAAAAAATAAAAAAAGAACTTGCTGCAATGAACTGTTCCTAGAACTCGTCGTGCCGCATCAAGACCTCGCCATAATTCGTCACCTGACTTCCCACAAACAGGTCGAACTTGTCCAGAATTTCCTCCTTGGTCAGCTTGCCGTCCTGGACAAGGATATAAAGCATTTAATAGGGACTGATTGTTTGACTAGATTGAGTAATGGAGCTATTGGAAAGTGGACTGACCTTGTTGGTGTCAGACTCGTACAACAGGTGTTTGGCCTCTGCGACTGCATGGTCATAATCTGCAGGGAGGATCCAGTCCAAAGTTTCCTCCCTGTCCATCTTGCCGTCCTTGTTTTTGTCCCTGAACTCATAAAACTGCTGCCGTTCTGTGGCCACCCACTCCGGTTCCTCTACTCCATTCTCTGCAGTGAACATGTCACCTGCAAATGAGATGAGGAAGAAAGATCAAAGATCAAACACTGATTCAGCCAGTTATGGTTTCATTTTAAAATTCCACAAAATTTCGAGAGAAGCAAGAAGTTTTTTTCTTGATCTCACAGCCAAAAGAATAAAGTTATGTCATTTTGTTCTAGAAGTCGTGTCTTGGAGGTTCTCGCTGTTTTTCTTCTGGGCAGAAATCATTCTTGCAGTGAATATAAGAATAGTTGTGTCATTGGTCAGGATATCAGGGCATAAAAAAGGAAAAGGACAGATGATCTTCCCCTTTTTCTTTCAGGTCTTATTTCAAATGCATAAATCTATCAAGCAGAGGCGGGAGATGTGGCGTCAATAAGTCATCTCCATGCCATGTGTGTGCTCTGCCAAGCCAAAGAACCAGTCTGCACAATTTAGTTCACTGGACGCTTATGCAACGTTCAGACCACAAGCAGCAGAGGCTGGTGTCAAATTCTTCCTCTTCAAGTTGGCAATCCAACGACGAACCCGTCAGTGGAGGATCAGGAATCAGAAAGGTGAAATTATTTCACTGGTCACAAAGGTAACCGCCCCCCCATTTGGAGGTTCTGATCATATTCCACTCTCTGGTGGGAGTTCAAAGGGTGGATTGAAGGTCAATATGTAATGTGATATTGTGTCCCAGCAAAAATATTACTACCAAGGGTTCTCCCCAGAACATTGGAACAGGATGGACAACTTCTTTAGAGTGATTAAAACAATACATGACCGCATGACTGCAGCTTGGAGAGATCAGTATGAAGGTCCGACTTGTTCTTAACCTGCTTTCAAGGAGTGATGGACAGCTGTGTCCTTACCAATGTATTCTTTCAGGTCAATGAATCCATCGCCGTTCTTGTCTATGTCTTCCATCGTTTCCTGTGATAGAGGAGAGATGAGTTTAACTTGAGAACAAAAACCTCAAACCAACAATGTTTACATTTGATCACTGCAGCACTTTTAAACAAAATGGAAATTTCATGCAAGCTGTACAAAACGAATTTTCGTTTTGTATACTCTATGTATTCAAAATGACAAAAAAAGCTGTCTAAGTCAAACACAAACAGTGGCCCCTCTTACCTGCACCACCACTTCCTTCATGTGTTCATGGTTCTCTGGATGAAGAAAAGCCATAAACTCTGGCTTGTCTGCATTCATGTCTCCATTACTGTCTGCCACTTTGAAGCGTCTCTCGTCCCTCGACATCATGTTGGTGTAGTTATACTCCCTCTCAGTCAGAGGACCCTCTGAAAGAAGATGAGTCAAGATCAAGAGTGAAAGGTTTCCATCTCGGACATGTATGGCATTGCTTTGGGGTTAGAAATTATATAGACCACACTTCATCAGGATTGAATGGTTAAAGATCTTTCAACTGTCCGGTAACCATGTCTCAGTGAAACCATTTTAATCACCAGTAACGAGACGGTGCTAACACCCAAGAAAAGCTCCTGCTTCAATAACCTTTGAGATGGACTTAGACCTGCAACTGTCCTCACAGACAAGCTAAATGTCTCCTACAAAGGTTCGATGGTTAGTCGTTATGCGCCGATATATACGATACCTGGCTGTGCAGTAATACTGATACCATCTGTTTGAAATTGATGTATGTGTATATATGAAGAACTGCATCCCACTTGGATGTAAAATAATTGCCATCATGGCTTTGTCAAGCTGCTGCCTACCTTTGTGAAGCAGGAAGTGAATCCAGTAGAACTTTTTATTGCCTACCTGGAATGGGTGACAATAGTTGAATAAACTTTTGGCTCTCAAAATGGTATCAGTGCCCTATTTGTTGGTACTCGACGATACCGATACCACCATTTTAAGTTGGCAACACTGCTCCTTGTTTTCAGGCAGCTGCCTAGTATTGCCTTAGGGTAATCCACCCCCCGTGCATTAAAGCATAACCCCTTAAAAACCAACTTCTGCCCCTTTTGAGAATCTCATAAACTGTAGGAATAAAAGCAGAATTTGGATTTAGTCTGTATAATTCCTGACAATGCTAATTTACTGAGTATAAGATTGTGTTTTTATTATAAAACTGAAGCAGTTCATACAATACTGACAGCCAACTTTGAACTTACTTTGAATTTACTTTGAATTTCTCCTCAATTTTGATATTAATCACATTTTGCACTACTTAGCCGTTTTTTTGTGTTTTTTTAAATGCAGCCATAATTCTTCCTGAGCCAAACCTTTAACCTTCTGATAAATCCGCCTATTTCTATTGTGTTACCACCTTATTTCACTTTACTATTAGCATCTATATTATATAATGCTCCCCATCACATTTCAAATGTTCATCTTCCTCCTCTGCCATGGTACCATCTTCATCAAGTTGGGTCTCATGATGTAACTTAGATAAATGATGGCTTCACTTTATCAGACTGTTAGGACCTTGTCAGTGTGGACCCACCTGTTGGCATTTTACTGTGGTTGGACTCTGATTTTAAAAAGCTTTGATTTGGGGAAAAGATCAGATCTCAGCAGAAAACATGAGGGTCAGGTTCACACGTGTTCCTGTTTGGATCCTCACCCAGATAGCTGCCATAGGTCACGTTCCTGTACTCCTCCCAGCTGATCAGGCCATCGTTATTCAGGTCAAACTCGTGCCACTGATGTTCCACATTCTCATACATGTGTCGGTTCTGGACATTCCTGATCCACAGCTCC